GGCCGGCCAGCCCCGAGTGGCTTCCGCGGGTTCGCTCCGGCTTCGGGCGGTGGCGGCGCGGTACAAAGGCGCCGCGGGGCGGGCGGGCGGCGAGGCCGGGCACAAAGGGGGCAGCCGAGTGTTAAGGGCATTGTGCCGGCCCCACAAAGCCGCGCCCCCGCCCGACCTCTCGGGACCAAACTCCGGGCGCCCTGCCGCGCGCGGGCTTCCAGCTGCTGCACATCTGCAGGGAGGCTGGGCGCGCGCCTCGCACGGGCGGCCCCCCTCATCCCCGCCCCGCTCTCGAGCCGCGCGGGCAGCCGGGCAATTTGTTCTCTAATTATGATCCCTCCCCATAAACCGCCGCCCGCGCCTTTCAACTCCGGCGTTATTAGCAAACCAATGGCCCCCGGCGCAGCTCTCGCGGCCCACAGCGGGGGCGCTGGGCCCGCCCCCTCTCCAGAGTGCGGGCCGCAATAAAGGGGCCCGCGAGACGCCCTCGCCTGCTCCCTGGTCCCCGCAGCTCCTAGGGCCAGCACCCCTCTCGAGCCCGTGCCCCGAGATCCCGGCCGCTCTGGGTGGGGCCGCTCACGTGGGTGGCTTAGTGTTTCTTAAGCAGTGGAAAATTGACCGCAAAATGCGCTAATTCGCAATGTTCTGCTTTGGCTGCTGCAGGCGAGGCCGGCCCGGGCGGCCCGGGAAGAATTCGGGCTGTCAAGCTCCGCCCCTGCCGGCTTAATGGGCCTCCGCCTCCGCTGCCCCCGACCCCCACCCCGGCACCGCCCGCTGCGCCCCTCCCCCTCTGGCAGGTCCTCAGCTGGCGTCTCCCCACTTAGGCCGATCCCCTCCCCCACTTTCCGGGCTTGCCCGGGTCCTCGGTCGGCTCCCTCACCACAAACAGCCACCTTGGCGCGTTCGTCGCCTCCATCTGGCCGAGGGTCGCGCGGGACTCAAGGCTGAAAGGGATCTCTGTGCAAATTCCATCTTACCTTTTACCCACCTTCAGAGACAGTTTCCTCGCCACCCTCGCCACCCTTTACCCCCAATTCGGGTCAGTCTTCTGGGCAGCCGATACCCCCACTAAGTTAGAGGCAGAGTTTTGCATTTGGCAAGGTCATTGGAAAAGACCGGAATCTCCACCGAGATCCTGCTCGGAGACCTAGGCTAGGGACCCCCAGATCTGTTTGCAAGTTTTGCGTCTGGGCATCCTACACACCCTAGGCAGGCTGGGCTCTGAGGGCGCGTGCAGAGGAGGGGGAGGCGTTTTCCGACGTAGGGGGAGCGGCTGCGGGTTCACCTCGTCCTCTCTGAGAGCAAGCAGGACCAAGCACTCTCGGGCTGCCGGCAAGGGCATGGACCAACTTAGAAACCCGGCTTATGCAAGCCGGGATGTAGGCCACCGACGCCCTTTCCATCTTTAGCCTCTGGGGTTCTCAGGGGGCTTGGAAAGGAGCACAAGTCCAGGCAGAGCGCTGGGGGGGACACAGGCTGCCCTCTGCTCATTCAGGAAAAATTCTTTCTATAACTCAGGAGAGCTCTGGGGGCTTCCAGGGCTACTCAAAGCCCGTGGCTTCCTCAGGCTCTGGAATTTAAGGCCCAAAGCGACCTGTGCCTTTTGTCCTCTCTTCCTCCATTTGGTTTTCTTGACTTTGGTAAAAGAAAGAACATTACAGAACGATGCAGGCCCTGGATGGGAACCCCTGCCTTCCTGCAGCCCCCAGGCATTTAAAGCTACCCGAGCTATCAGGTGCTGCGGAGGCCACTGCCTGTGCAGTGACTGGAGTGAGAAATGTGCGGCCCCCTCCAGGATGCACTTCTAAATGGAATGAAGTGATTGCTCCATGTAATTAACTATTGGGACACAGCAAAAGCTCAGAAATGACTCAGCCAATTGTCTCCAGATGGGGTTGGAGAGGCTGCGATTGTTAACTCTCTTCGGCTGGGTTAGGACTCCCAACAGCCCAGCAGCCAAGGGCCCTCCAGGGCACAAAGGCTGGGACTCCGGTGAGTGCATCAACACCGAACCAGGCTGGCCCAGCTCAGAGAGAATGATTTCTGCGAGACCCTCACTGTCCCAGCCTTTTGCGCTTCTCCCCAGCTGGCTCTAATCTTTAAATATTTACCCAGCCCCTTTGTGCACATATGACTCATGCATGTTGGGCTGATGTGCTCTTAAATTACGAGTCATTTACCAGAGGGGGGAGGGGGCGGTGCTTTCATGCCGGGAGTGGGGAATGGCCAGAGGAGGGGAAGAAAAAACAGCTTTTGGAGGATCAGCGTGAGCTGCAGCCACACTGGACAGGCCCCTCCTGGCCTCCACGTGGGAAGTGGATGGGGCAGAGGCCTGTGAGTGACAAGGAGTCCCAGGAGGTCAACCACCATCAGGGAGGAGGGAGAGGCAGAGTTCCAGAGCTGTTTCCTACTTGGTGTCAGGCTTGGACAGGAGCCAGCCTTTCATCCTGGGAAGCTGGTGTGGGTGCAGGTGCTCGGTTAACACCCATCCTCGCCCCTTCTCATGCTTGCTCTGCAGCATTCCCCCTTTTCCTACATTTCCTCTTTCTCCGTAAAGCAACCCTGTTTGAGAAAAGGGAGCCTAATTTCACCTCAGCCTGCAGCTTAAACTTGGAAAAGTCAACATGGTTCTGACGGCTTTTTAAAACAAGAGGCATCCCCACTTGGGCCCAGGATGGAAAGCCGCCTCGGGTGGTGGGTGGATGGCTGGACTGGGGGGCGGGGAGGGGAGGCCCTAGAGAGGGAACTTCCTGCATGAGAAAGGGTTCCCTTTGTGCTTGCCTCACAGCTCCTAGAACAAAACACATTCAAATGCTTATTTAGAGGGGAAAAAATGGAAAGCAAGGCATCTCCAGGCTGACTGGTTTCTCTTTATTTTCTTATATTACTGTAGGTGTGCTGTTCCTCTAGCCTAGGGGAGTCCAAACTGTAGTGACACGGGAGGGCTGGGTGCAGAGTGGACATGTTTGACCAGATTGCTTTCCTCTCTGGTGGGAAAGCAGGTCTCTTGTGTTTCTGTCTATATCTCTGTGAATTACTGTTTTTCTGTGTGCCTGTGTATCTCTCTGTGTGGCTTTGTTGCTCTGGGTCTATGCCAGTGTGTACATACGTTCGCTTACTTGCCTTTCCCTTCCATCACTCCTCTGTGAACCCCCGGGCCCTGACAGATTCAGCAACTCTAGTGACTTCTAAAAATTCCCCTTCCCGCTGGTCTGGCCCTACCTGGAAGGGGACTGCCTCCCCCTTCTGTCTCCCTTCTCCAAGTTGGGACTGATGGAGATATATGGTCTAAGAGGAACTGATGGGCAGAGAAGAGAGAGTTGCTCAAGCCTTCCAATCTACATTACATGTTACTCTGTGCCCCCCAGAACAGGGACTGCCCCTGCCATAAGTCAGCGTGGAGAGCAGATACCAATGGCCAGAAAAGGAGCTTCCTGGGAGCAGCCCTCTGCCCCAGGACCAGACTCACTCCCAGGAGTGAAGGTGCAGTGAGCACCCTCTAGTGGCCCTGAGGTGTCCTGGAGATGCAGGAGAGGTCCTGAGTGGGGGAGACAGTAGAAACAGGGGACAGTGGCAGGACCCTGGCTCTCAGCCCCCAGTAACAGTCCAGGCTTCCTTCCCACATGGTGCTGCAACTGGGTGACGTTGGATTTTAAAACATTAAATCTCCTTTCAGTTCCTATCTACCGAGTTTAGCAAATGTCTTCTGAGCACATTTTAAACATGATACTGGGTTTACAGAACATTGGTGTGAGACCCGTGAAATCAGTATCCCTATTTTATAGGAAGTTGAGGCTCACAGAGTTGCTTTGCCCGAGCTCACAAAGCTGCTGAGGTAGGCTCTCCACCCTTCCCTGAACCCAGCTTTCCAGACACCAGGCCTCCTGCCTGGTCCTGCAAGGACACAGGAAGGTAGAGTGGCCAGGGACACAGAGGCAGACTGGGCTGACTGCAGCTCACAGCCCACCTGCCCTTATGGCTCTCTGACCCACTACTCTGGGTTCCAACCTCCCCCAGGGCCTGTCCCCTATCCCGCTTCAGGCTTGCTTCCTCCTGCCTCTGTGTCCGCAAAACTCGGTCCCCTCCCTCCTGTAGATGTCCTTGCTCTCATTTCCAGTCTCAGGCGGGCTGCCAGTACCGACTCTTCCGGGGCACACTAAAGCTCCCACCCACGGGCCTCTCCCTGGGGTCCCTCCCATTCCCTCTCTATCCCTACTTGGCTCCTGACCCACTCCCATCCCACCATAGTTTATTCTAGTCATTTGCTTACTTGCCTTTTTCCTCCATCAGGCCTTTGTGAGCGCCCGGAAATGGAGGCATTTACCTTTTAAAAAATTAAGGAACAGGACTTCCCCAGTGCTCCAGTGGTTAAGACTAAGCCCTTCCACTGCAGGGGGCACGGGCTGGATCCCCGGTCCGGGCAGTTCCAAAATGCCGCGCCGGTAAAGTAAGGAAAAATTCCTAAGTAATATAGATTGATTGTGGGCCATATGGAAAATACAAAACCATATAAAAAAAAGACAGTAAAAGTCTCCCAGAGTCCCTACCACCTGAAGATTATCGTTGTTTAGTAATTTTGGCTTCTATTCCAAACATTTTCCCGGGCTCACACATACGCTTCTCTTTTTCCCAAGTGAAGTCAGGATCACACTGTAAAGTTTGGCATGCTGCCTTATAAAAAACGTAATGTCTTGAGGATTTCCACCGTCGGCTAACATTCTCCCTCGACACGAACTGAAGCGGGTGGTCACCCCGCTGCGTGCATGCCCCAAGGGTAGTGTCCCCGCAGCCTGGGCGCCCAGGGGGCGCTCGGAGACCCTGCCGAGGGCGGGTGGTCTCTGCGCGCGGACCCCCCGGGGCGCGGTGGGGTGGAGATGGATCGCCGGCTCGAGCCCGCATGCCCAGGACTGTCGGTTTCGCCGGGAACCGCGCGGGGCCCGTGAGCGGCGGGGGCGGGGGCTGGGTGCTTTAGATTTCACGTGATTTCTCTGGACCGGGACATTCTGGGATTTGGGGCCGACTCCTGGCAGACGCCGCCGGCAATTCCTTGGCCCAGGACCCAGACTCCCCGCGGCCCCGCCCGCCAGCCGCAGCTCTGCCTGGGTCAGGGGGTCCCGGGGGGACGGCGGGGCGGGGCGGGGCGCTCCTGTCAAATTCGGGCCCCCGCCGCGCGGCGCGGCGGTATCGCGAGAGCTCGCGGGCGGTGCGCAGGTCTGGGCGGCTGCCCTTCCCGGCCGGCGTCGGCAGCGCAGTGCGCAGGCGCGGCGGGAGGCTCTTCCCAGGCTACAGTTGGGGCCGCCGCCCGCTGGTCCGCCGCCCTGCGCCATGGCGGGCTGCGCGGCGCGGGCTCCGCCGGGCTCCGAGGCGCGCCTCAGTCTCGCTACCTTCCTGCTGGGCGCCTCGGTGCTCGCGCTGCCGCTGCTCACGCGCGCCGGCCTGCAGGGCCGCACCGGGCTGGCGCTCTACGTGGCCGGACTCAACGCGCTGCTGCTGCTACTCTACCGGCCGCCGCGCTACCAGGTACGGGCCGGGCCGAGGGCCGGGGCGGGGACCGCGGGCCGGGCGGGCTGGGCGCGGCGCGTGGGCACCGTCCCCCCGGGGTCGAGGTCCGGGTCTGCCGAGAGCGCGGCCCGCGAGAGGGGTTGCCTCCCCCGGCCGCGTCTTTTAGCAGCTGCGAGTTCAGGTGGCAGGAGGGCCCCCTCCCTGCCAGTCCCTGGGGGCGTGGGTCGCGGGCCCCCTCCACCCGGCGGAGTGGGTGGGAAGTTGCGGTTGGTGCCGTTCAGCAGCTGCGGCAGATGCACGTGGGGTGGGGAGTGAGCGGGCCCACGAGTTCTTTTATGTAATTTAAGGTGTGGAGAACTACCTGCTGTCAAGTCTGAGGTCAGAGGCCCCCGCAGTTACGTGGAGGGGGCTGGGCGCAGAGTCCCGGCTGCCCCGACCAGATTCGCTGCATGGACTTGGGAGAATCCGGCCAATAAGCTAGGTTTAACGCAGTTTTCCCACAGCCCTGAGTGACAGTAACATTCATAATAGTAATGGTAGCTAAATCTTACTTACGGAGCACTTCGTCTTAAGTGCTTTACATGGGTAATCTTCACAGCAGTCCTCAGAGGTAGGTACTCTTGTCATCCCCATCGTGTAGATGGGGAAACCGAGGTCCAGAGAGATTAAGTAACTTGCCTAAGGCCACAGAGCCATAGAGGGGTGGGCTTGGGATTTGAACCCAGGCAGACCTGCTTTACCCTGTTAACCTCTGAGCAAATCGGCTCCATGGGCTTGCGGGTGGCCTACTTATCCCAGGAAGTAGGATGTATGCTCTGTGAACAACCAGGTGACTGATCCTCTTTTGGGTCCGTTTCAGATAGCCATCCGAGCCTGTTTCCTTGGCTTTGTGTTTGGCTGTGGAGTGCTACTAAGTTTTAGCCAGTCTTCTTGGAATCACTTTGGCTGGTAAGAAGTGCTTTGGGGAATGATAGTTTTGAGGTGGGGGTGGGCGGATCAGAGGGTCAGTAGTGATATTCCCGCATCCCTGGCTGGCTGAAGGCTAGTGAGGACTCTAAGGGAATGAGGCCTCTAGCTTCCTAGATTCCCGCATCTTGAACCTTGAGAACTTGTGCCCGTTGGTTGCTTCTGTCGCAGGTGGAAACAGGTCTCCCTGGCACCCTTCCCATAGGTGCTCTCATCTGCTGCACCTTCAGTAATGTGACCAGCCCCTCCCAGAAGAGGGTACTGGTCCTCAGTGACAGGAAGGGGCAAGGCTCTGGCTCGTCTTCACAGGCCTTTTCCGTCTCTAATTTCTATTAGGTCACATCTAGTGCCTCCCCCACGGCCAGTGTAGGATTTTTCCCTACACTATGATTTCAGTCCCTTGAGCCTTCTAGTCCCTGACCTGGATATGAACCAGTGGCTTCAAGGTAAAAAGCTTTATCTCCTACTGTCAATACTCTGAGCCATCTAATCCTTCTTTGCTGGAGTTATTTCAGTTTTTCAAATTTTTGTATCCGACATACATCACTGCTTTATTTTGATACTCTTCTTTCATGTTTTGCTGTGTCTAGTGTCATTTTAAAAAAGGCTGAAGGCCCGTAGTGCCTTCCTAACCTATGTTTTTTGTTTTTTGGTTTTTTTTTCTTTTTTTTTCCCTCCTGTGACATTCAAAAACATAGTCCCTTTACAACCCCGCTTTCTGCAGACCTCAGGGAATAATGCTACATGTGGGTGCCTGATGTCCACTCTCAGACAGGTGACAGCAGGCCCTCATCATAGAATTCAGGGACAGTTCAGACCAAATCTGTACTTGGACTTAAAGGCTAACTTGATTCCCTTGCCCCAACTTACCTCTCATTCTTTTTGTTTTTAAATAGGTATATGTGCTCCCTGTCATTGTTCCACTATTCTGAGTACTTAGTCACAGCAGTCAATAATCCCAAGAGTCTGTCCCTGGATTCCTTTCTCCTGAATCACAGTGTGGAGTATACAGTAGCAGCTCTTTCTTCTTGGATAGAGTTCACACTTGAAAATATCTTCTGGCCAGGTCAGTGTGCCTGCTTTCCCCTCTGCAGGGGAGATGGGTGGCTTCCACGTGGGCCTCAGGACAGTGACATGGGTTCACCTCTCAGGTCTAATCTCCCCGAGTGATCTTCCCCAGACCTCTATCCTCACTAATCTCTTTATAAAGGACAAGCTCCACTTGTGAATTCCGCTTCTGGATTTTGAATGGAGGATGTGTTGACCTTACGCTTTAAGCCTTGCAGGACGTAGTGTGTACCATTTAACGTGAAGTCCCAACCTCTGATAGCTGTAATACCAGTTTTACAGTCAGAAGATTTGGATCTGTTCATTTTCTGTGACTTGAGAAATTTCATGTAAAAATTTTATTAGCAAAAACTACTGCATCTGGAACCTACTCTGACGCTGAACTTTCCACAGCAACTTAAACGAAGTGTATGTAGTTCCTAAGATTCCGTAAAGGGCCAAGGCGGGAGACGCTGGATCCTTCTCAGCTTCACTTAGCTGTCTTTGTCTCCAGAGGAAGGATGGGAGTGTGTGGCGGGGGTGTGTGGATGAGAGCCTGTCAGCTCTCTGCCACGACACTCTAACTGGGCTGTTGGCATTTTAACATGAATGGGTGAACAGCACAACTTAGCGGAATGTATTTTGTTTATAATTAAATTTTAATGTGATGACAGATGCCGATTGCCCACTAGCATGTGTTCTAGTGTTCCTGCCTTTCGAAACATAGGTTAATTTTAAGCATGCAGGGCGGAACTCAGCAGTCCAGGGTCTTCACTCCCCGGTTGTCACCATCCCTCTCCTGCAGAACTGAAGCAGATCACCTGGCTCAGCGCCACGGGGCTGCTGATGGTGGTCTTTGGAGAGTGTCTGCGGAAAGCGGCGATGTTTACAGCTGGTTCCAATTTCAACCACGTGGTGCAGAATGAAAAGTCAGAAACCCACACTCTGGTGACAAGCGGAGTATATGCTTGGTTCCGGCATCCTTCTTATGTTGGGTGGTTTTACTGGAGTATTGGAACCCAGGTATGGTATCAGATACGATACTGGTCTCCTTCAAAGTTTTTAAAAATATGTTTTAAATCGACATATAATTTAAATATCATAAAATTCACCATTTCAAAGTGTATAATTCAGTAGATTTCAGTGTATTCACGAAGTTGTTGGTCTTTTTGTTTTCCATTGTCTTTTTTTTTTTTTAAGTGTTGTGTTTACTGATTTATTTATTTATTGGCCACACCGTGCAGCTGGTGGGATCTTAGTTCCCTTAGCAGGGACTGAACCTGGACCCCCTGCAGTGGAAGCATGGAGTCTTAACCACTGGACCACCAGGGAATTCCCTGTTGGTCCTTTTTAAATGGGTACACGTGTTCCCTGCCACGTTTCAAGTGATAGTTAAATAAAAGTCAAAAGAACTGATTTAGTCTTTAGCGCTTTTTGCTATGTACTTAAAATCTGGGTGTCCTAAGCTTGTAAGCTTTCGGCGATTCTAGGTGCCGTTACCCGCTCTGTCGTACCCCTTTTCTGCCTCTTTAACTTAGATCTGGAGCATCTGGAGTGGGATGAGGACAGACATGGGGCTTTGGGGAGAGCCCTCTGCCACTCAAGGGGCAGCTTGGCTGATTTTCATTAGAGGCTGCTGTGGATGAGCCCAGGGTCATGTGTCAGGTTCAACATGAGCGATGGAGGTTTGCTCTGTCTCAGGCTGCAGACTGAGCCTGGTTTCTTGAGCTTTGTCTCTTGAATCTGTTTTCTTAGTCCTAGAAGGACTTGGACAGAGAATATGGATAGAGCTTAGAAAACTCATCACCTCTTCGGGAACATCCAGTCCGGGCCCCCAGGCATCCCATTGCAGAGCATGGTATGGGGGGGCACTCTGGTGACCCCCAGTGGTGTAGTAGGTTACTGCACAGCATTTGTGTGAAAACTTGCAACCCTGAAGCTTAAGACTGCCGCATTAACAACTACATTCCCCGGGAATAGGTTGATTGTAGTGGAATCATGTAATTTGCCGTAAGTGCTATAATAAACCTAAGTGCTCTAGGACTAGACAGCTTTTCATACTTCTTTGACTATAGATCTTTCTACACCGTGACCCAGCACACAGGTGTGTGTAACAACTGCACAAATCTTTCCCGAGAAACACTCACCCTGTGTACAAAACACTCTGTTTCCTATCTTGTTAGTGTTTGTAATGCCGTTTCGGATGCACGGGCTTGATCTCCTGGCTCCACGACGGATTGTGGCTTGAGACTGGGAAACCCCACTCTAGGGTCTGCTGGCGGTGGCGGCACAGGCTCTGGGGTCGCTGGCGGGCGGGTGGGGCCGGTCCGGTTCTAACATCAACTGATTGGCCTCCCGTTTCCTTGCGGGTTAAGCGGGGGCGGCAGTGCTACTCAAGAGGCTTGCTCTGGGCGTCGAATGGCTTACTGGCTGGTGGTAAAGGGCTTGGCATGTGCTGGGAACACAGTAGGTGCTCAGTAAACAGTGGTGAGAAGAAGTGAGGTCACCCATGTGGGGAAGACGTACGTCCCGGGCGGGGGCTGGTGGGTCCGTTGGAGTGGGCAGGGGTGGATCAGTGGGCTCCCTGAGCTACACAGAAGAAGTGGGCCGAGGAGCTGCTTTCCTGGGCTTCGAAAGCTGGGCTAGGGAGGCGTGGCTGAGGCCTTCGTGCTTTCTTAACAGGGGAGCGATCTGATGGAAGAAGTGGTTTGGGGGCTCAGCTGACAGCAGTGTATCGACGGCACGTGCGCAGGAAGGTTGTGGGGGCCAGAGGCAGGGGGCCGGGCAGCTGTGGGGTGGCAGGGAGCGTGCTAGGAAGGGGGCAGGCTGGGAGCCACGCGGGAAGGCAGTGGTGCTTGGAATGGGAATTCACGTATGGGGGTGGAGGGAGGAGTTGCCAGCACCCCTGCCTGGGGGTTGAAATCCAGGAGGTCGCTCTTTCCTTTCAGTTTTTAGGTACCTCTCAGGTAAGAGGAGCAACAGAAAAGCATACGAACGAAAGCTACAGTGATGGGTGTTTAGCCCTGTTGTGAAAGTGATGGTGTGGTTTCCGTTAATGGCGCCCTGGCTCAGGGTCTCAGAGACCCTAGTGGTGTTTCAAGAGTTTCTTGGGCCCTTGGCAGGAAGTCCTCTGTGGTCGTTGGAGAGCAGCACATGCCGCTGAAGTTCAGGGTTTCGGGTCACACTGAACCTAGTCCACTAACCCTGTGTCCCTTCGTCAGGTGGTGCTGTGTAACCCCATCTGCGGCGTGAGCTACGCTCTGACAGTGTGGCGTTTCTTCCGTGACCGGACAGAGGAGGAGGAGGTCTCGCTGATTCACTTCTTTGGAGACGAGTACCTGGAGTACAAGAAGCGGGTGCCCACGGGCCTGCCTTTCATAAAGGGGGTCAAGGTGGAGCTATGATAGGCCCGGGCGGCCCCCCCGCTCCAGGCAGCGTGGGACGGAACAGCTTCCTGGCGGCCACCCTGCAGAGCGGACTTCCTCAAATCAAGTTGTACGTCACCAGTTACTCTTCTGGAATATCACTCAAGATCAAATGGCCAGAAGGCCTTAGGACCAAAGGACCCCGCCTCCCACCCCCCCTCCC